TTAATATTTTCCTTCTGTTTAGTAAAATTGTTTGACTTACTCAGTCCCAAGTCTATATAATTAAATAAACCTTTTTAATTTTGGTTATCTTTTGATATATTAAAAATGTAGCTAGAACATTAGCCATTAGCTAAAACATCTTATTACATATATTAGAAAACAATAAATCCACTTTAAATATTAATTCTAGTATTAAATTTGATTATAAGTCTTGAATCTGAGTTAGGAGGCATAAGTATTTGGTGTTACCAATTGTAAATTTTTTATATTTTGTTCAAACAAGTTAAAATATTTTTTAAACAAATATGGTAATGAATATATGATAATATCAATATTTTATATATTTTAATTCAATGTTTAATATTATTCCTTAGCTTATAGCTATTAACGTTAAAAATGATTTTACTTAACATATGCTTTATTAATCATTTAGTTGTATTATACTTAATAACGACACTGATAGTTTTTATACTAACATGATTTTAAAAAGATATTATTTCCGTAGTTATTTTTTKAACTAAATTTGTATTCATTTTGGTGTTGGAATTAGAGATTATATATTTATTAATTTATTAATCTCTTTTAAATATTGATCAACATGAATTGATTCTAATTTATGTTAATCAATTATAATAACTATCATAACTTAGTTGTATACAATTTTTATTTTTTATTTTTGTTAAAATTATGTTAAAATTATGCAAAACATCAATGAATTATTAATTTAATAATTACTAATTAGAATGGCTCAACATTTGGCAGAATGAAATTATTATTAATGTTGAAACATTATTTTTATAGCTATATTTGCAAAGCAATGTGGCTTACCAAGGAACCAGTAATCCAGCTTATTATCAATTTCCTCCACAGCAGGTATTTAATTTATGGTATAGTTTTTTTAAATATTTATAATTTGAAACATATTATATTTAGTATGATTTATTTAAATCTGCTGATATAATAAAAAAATTAAAAAAATTAACTTATTTTTGCTATGCTTGAATTTTTCTAACTTTATTTACAATATTTAATATTGATCATTTTTAAATCACAAAAAACATAATTTCTTTTGATTAAGTTTCTAATTTAATCATTTTTTACCAAATGTTTGTTGTAATAATTAAATATTATATTTTCTTTTAGGCTTCACAGACAGCCTTATTAATGCCATATGTAAACTACTCTTCTGCCAGTCAACAAGGTATTTACAATCTATTTATACTATTTCCTATTACATAATTTTTATTTTGATACTTATTATTTATTAAATTTAATTCTGTGTTCAGCTAAAATTTATTTATTATATTTTAATATTGTGCATTATTGTAGGTGTTATTACTACAAAAATATAGGTTTTTATTCGTAAATAACCTAATATTATATATATTTTATTTTTAATGAATCAAACATTTTGATCTTTTTTTTTATTAATTGCATTTCATATGAATTTTATTTTAATGAAGTCAAAATACAAAGTTTAGTTTAAATTTTTAAAACATTTAGGGATTCGAACAGCAAATATTGTATAGTTTATTCTATAGTCTTATGCACCTATTCGTTGAGACTGTCATTATAATGGATGTAATGAATTTAAATTGTTGTATATAATAAAAAATAATTCTGAGTAGATATTTTATTATATAGTTATATTAAGATTAGTAAATACTTTATTAGTAATGAGATGACATGTTGTCTCTATTTCTTAGAAAATTGTATTAATTAACAACTGATATATTCATTGCTTTGGTCAGACTCCTTAGTATTGTATTTCATTCATATTTTAGATTCTGAGCGGAGCGATGAATGTATTGATTTTACCATGATGTGTGTTTTTTTTTT